AAAAAAAGAGTTAGACAAAAGTAAGTTACTTTTACCTCATCAGAGCTAAACAACAGCAGAGGCAGAAGTAGCAGGAGTTGATTAAAGGCATTGTCCTGACCACTGATACCACCATGGCAAAGCCAGGGCTGCCTCATGGAACCAGGTCAGGAGACACTGATTTCTCCATTCAACTCTGAGGCACCACTTTGTAAATGACACGATCATTTTCGGGTACAAGAGGTGCTTTACATGTGGTAACATTATATCATTTCAGCTGTAATGATCATAATTACTTATTTCTTTTAATCACAACCCACTTAACCACTTTAGTACAGAGGACTAGTTCAAGGAGTTTAATTTTCATTCAACATCTAATCTTTGTGTTTACCGAAACCCTTCCCAGCTTTGTTTACTGCCTGGTTGCTGGACTACACGTTTGATCTTGCAAGAATAGATCAGACAGGGTCAGATAAAATACTGATTACTAGAATAAACCAGGCTTAGGAAGTCACACTAATTTTCAAATCCTGCACTTTCCCAGCTTTTTAAAATATTTTGCAAAATAAGCTCAAATAAACCAATAAAATTAAGACAACTAGCAATCACGGAGCTCTTGAGCAATGATTGAGAAAAGGAAAGTGACGGGGATAATTCTGTATTCTAGCCAAAATTTGGGGTTTGGTTAGATCCATTCATTCTAGTGGTATTATTTTATGACACAAATAATTTCATGAGAGCCACCAGTATTTGTGTGAACTTGCGGTGACCCTTCAGCTATTGAGACATTTGAAATAGCTGAGATTGACCTCACCAAAGATGAAAATTCATTTTGCCACTGGAATCAGATGAAAAATATTTTAGATATAAAATTATTTTATTATTTATTAACTGGAATACATCTATAATATGAGATCATCTTTCATTAAGGCAATTTCTTATTTTCATTATATCCTTTGCAAACATAGATTGCCATACAAATATAACTGGTGGTGCTATTAGATACATAATTGTTATTTAGTTTCATTAGATATGATTAGTCCAGTTTATGTTTAGAGCTCATGAAAAAGATTATTTGGATTTTTTTTCAAAAGAAGTGAAGAGATAACTCCCTTATAATCTCCCAGCCTTAGAAGCAAATCTATAATAGTATGAATTTTTCTAGGTATCTGTGGATCATCCCTATGCCCAAGAAAAAACAGCTGAATGTCAAAACTGTTAATATTGGTCTACCTTTTTCTCTTTTTGCCATTAAGTAATATATCATTTTTCTCATACTTGAGAGCTTCTGTCCTCTTCACTGTACATAGGAGTACAGGAGCAGCTCTGTGTGATATGATTAGCAATTTTTTAAAAACCTGTCCAGGGTCAGATACTTTCGGTACAGTAGGTTAAGTCCCAGTGTGGGATGCTGGCTGTGATTCTCCAATTTTGATTCAGATTCTGTTACTGCACTAAGAAGGCAGTACATGGAGACCCAAAAAACTGGGTACATGATACCTAATCGAAAACCATCACGCAGTTCCTAGTTGTTGAATTTGTCCTGTCCCACTTCTGACTGTTGCTGGATTTTGGAGAACGAATCAGCAGATTAAAGGATATCTCTCACCGTCTCTCTCTTTATCTATCTATATCTATCTTTCTGTCTTTTCCTCTTTGCTATTCTGCCTTGCAATTAAGTAAATATTTCTACAAAATGCTGTGGAAAACAGCCTACCACTCTATCCAACTACCCACCCACGCACTCCATGTTTTCCAATATCTAAAACTCCTGGGAAGCAGGTTCATGATTGCGGACCTTGAAACAAGAATATACAAACTCTGTCTCCCCAACTATCCTGCAGTAATGTTAATGCTAACTCCAATAAGTCTGTCAACCATGATTGTCTTTGAAATTAAAGGAAAGAGGTAAACAGAGTGTGCTTTGCTGTGATCATGGGAGAAAATAAAGTTAGCATGCTAAGCCAAACCAATTTAGGACTTTTTAAAGAAAAAGTGTAAATAGTTTAACTATAATAACAACAATTCAAAAAATTCACATTTAAATGTTTATTTCAAAATTTAGACAAGTCCATTTGTATACAGTTTTTACATCTGTTTTTAATGATATCAAATTATTGATTGTTCATTTTTCTCATATTTATTTAAGCATTAAGTACAGAATTTGAAACCTGATCTTTTTTTTAATCCTTCTAGTAGACTTTTATTTTTGCCAGGTTTTAGTCATATTTACTTTGATCTTCCAGAATATATAATTATTTTACTGTTTGTTTATTTCTATGAAAAGAGAAAAAAATTTTGACCTAGGAGATCTATATGTGGCAATTTGTAACAGAATCACATAGCTTATGTTTAGGAAATCATGGTTTTCATTAAGAAGCAACCATTTAGTTCCCACTGTTTTATTAAAATAGACATTAGCAGATAATATGAAACATATTTAACAGTGAAGCCTGCATTTAGTTTGGGACATCATAAGTGAACTAGAGCTCTTCTTGCCCACTTGCACACAAAACCGGTAACGTGCAGCAGCAAGGAAGGGGCAGAGAAGCAGAAGGGTGGGAACCCTGGGGGAGGCTGAGAGGGACCTGGAACTCTGATTTGTGAGTTCCAGCAAGAAGAGCCTCAAGAGCCCGGCAGCGTGGCCTAGCAGCTAAAGTCCTGGCCTTGAACACGCTGGGATCCCATATAGGTGTCAGTTCTAACCCCGACAGCTCCCCTTCCCATCCAGGTGCCTGATTTTGGCCTGGGAAAGCAGTCAAGGACAGCCCAAAACCTTGGGACCCTGAAGCCGTGTAGGAGATCTGGGGAAGTTCCTGGTTCCTGGCTTTGGATTGGCACAGTACCGGCCGTTGTGGTCACTTGGGGAGTGAATCATTGGACAGAAGATCTTCCTCTCTGTCACTCCTCCTCTCTGTATATCTGACTTTGTAATAAAAATATATAAATCTTTAAAAAAAAAAAAAAAAGAGCCTCTAAGATGTTCTGGATTTGCTAGAAACTAATTTCCAGATTTGAAAGTGATTCATTGTTTCTCTCTCCCTGTCTCTCTCTCTCTTTTCCATTTTAAAAAAACAGACACAAAAACATCTTAGGAACCCTTGGACAATGGGTCACCTATGCTAGGAACTCTCATAGCAACATGCATTCATAGCAAACAGCTTCTCTCCGATGAAATGTGCCTATCCAGGTCCAACACTTCCTTTTTTCTGCAGGTCGAAAGTTAATGAAATGCACTTCTCTGGGTGTTGATGTTCCGTACACCACTATACCTGTCATGAATTCTTTGTTTTTCCTCCCACTGCCTTGGCTGATGAATCAACACCACTTGAACTGTTTTATGGCAGCTTGTGTTTACTTCACACCTACCTTAACCTTCCCTTTTCTCCTCCTCCCGACACACACTCAGACACATGCACACACTTCTCCACAGCAGTCACTGGCTTCCCGTCTTTGAATAGCATATATGCACAGCACCTGACAGCCTCTTCAGGTGCAGGTCCTTGACCTACTGAATAAAATCAAGGTCTCCATCTGCTTTCACAGCATTTACAGATTTAACTGTGCATTTACTACCTTGAAAAAATATATATATAGCTTCAAGAACTGAATTTCCAAGACAAAAGAAAAGTAGAAAACATGAGTGTTACATGCATGGGTGTGCACTTGCACACACACATATATACCATGCACTGAAAATTCAGAAAACACTACAGTGAAGAGTTTCCGGTCTTTCTGAATTGGGAATTACCCTCCAGCCTATTAAAAAGGACACTCTTCCTTTCTTTTACAATAGTGAGTAAACAGGATTTGACAAATGACCTTGATGCTGCGTGATTCTTTTGATTTTTAGCCAAAGAGGACATGTTCAATTACTTTAACAATCCTACTTTGAAAGAAAAACTTGGAAGCCACACTTACAGAAAAGAACTGCTTCTGAATCAAATCATTATGTCTCATAATAGGGAGTTAGTCATCTTATCTTGTTTAAGGATGAATATGAATGTTCAAAAAGCAAGTGTTCGAACCAGAGTTTAAAGGAATCTAAGAACTTGGAAATAGGCTTTGAAAAGAAAGAACCAGCCGTTCTGCTTACAGTGCACTTAGTTTCTCCTGGGCAGCTCAACATTTTTCACTTTCCTTAGGAACTGAATATTTGGCACAAAAAGTTCTAACAACTTAGCACTTGGAAATGTGCCCCAAGTGCTGTAAGGTACATTTTCTCAAAAGGTAACCATGCAGCCAAGCTCCCAAATATTGAAGAGCCAGCCAACTAGCAGACAAGTGTTATTTCAACTCTGTCCCCCAGACAAAACCTGTAGGCACCAAAACAAGGAAATTCATCTTTCTCTTTCATCGACCCACCATAAACTGCCATTGGGCCCTCACAAAGTGGCCAGTGAAAAGTCAGCCAATACTTTGAAAACCTGTATCAAGTGTGAGAAGTCAGCAATGCTATGAAACCTATATAAAATGTAACAGATAATGTCATAAACATGCAAAATATGGTATTTTCATTATTTTCAGTCTTCATATGAATCCAGTAGTTTGTTCACACTCACCCAAATGACAAGAGGAAGACAAAGGTCTGAACACAGGATTACCTAACATGAGAATCTTTGCTCTAACCAAATCAACGTAAAATCAAAACGCCATTTCTGACCAAGGATCTCCTGATCCTATCACAATTCTTCCAATTTGCTGATCGGTACGCAGACTTAAAGTGCTGCTGGAAGCTAGAATGCCTGCCTTATATTTTCATTCTAAAGGACTTGGGCCTGATGATACATTTGTGAAAACCAGGAACCTGATAAATCATGCTAAGCCTGCTCCTCCAAACATCCCCCTGGTTTTAAGAGAGCCAATCTGGGCCCACAGAAATCATAATCATCTTACCATTGTAAAAAACTATGCATATGAATAGAAACATTACCAAACCAACATAAATTCCAAACAATCAATGACTTATAAACAGAAGAAACAGAAAACAAGCTTTGAAAACAAACAAACAAAAATTTTACCTTTAATCTTCTTGTACTTTTTATACCATCTCCCAAACTCCTGGCACTTGGTTGCTGACACATTGGCATAGTATGTGCTATTTACAATGGATGAAATCATACTCTGAAAAGAACAAGAATGAGTTATTCTTCTAAAATTATGACTATTCCTGTTTAGGGACAAGGAAGGGCACACTGGACTGCTAAAGGTACTGTCCCTTAAACTTATATGATACCAGTGCTTTTCTCCAAAAAGTTAGCTCTGGGGTTAACATTAAGGCTGAAGGGAATGTGATATGCAGATTACATGCAAAGGGGAAGAACAGTTGTGATTTAGGAACCCGAGCACAAGGTGAGACCAGACGCTCCAGCATCCGTAAGGCAAATAATGCCTTTCAGATGTTTCTGTTCTGCTTCCAACTGCAACAAGCTTACACAGCCAAGAATCTGAGAACATCCGTGCTACACACTGCAGAACAACGTTTAGGGAAATAAGTTAAATTAATATGATTTATAGAAACGTGTGATTAGCACTTGTGTGAAAATTCACCAAATGAAAAAAATTAACAGTGCTATTTTAGAGCAGAGGAAACTAAACATAACACTTGTACTGAGCTTCAAGCAAAAACGAATCAACGCAAAAACTTTCTGGCTCTCATGCACATGAGTCCTACTTATTCTTCATCTTCCTCTTCCTCCTGAGCTCAATTCCTCGGCTGAGCGGCTTGTAACTGACGTTTTAAAGCAAGGAAAGGGGAAGCATAATCTGATTTTGCACTGGAAAACTAAAATTGTAATTGCACACCTTGAATCCAATGTCCAACAGAGTGATGCCTGCTGCCAAGATGGCAGGCTGGGCCAACATTTGTGGCAGATGTTAACTTAAACCTGCACTGACTGTGATTTTGTGTGTGTGTGTTTTACAGGGAGATTTTGTTTCTGCAAATTCTGTCTGAAAAAGCAAATGGGCCTGCATAACTCAAGATTTCCAAATGAACTGCACCAGGTTTTATATCTTGCCTTGAAATCTCATCTTTCTCAAAAAGTTATCCCCCAGACATGAAGCAGTTCAGAGAAATCTTAGAACTTCCAAAGTAGTAGAGATAAGAAGAATAACAATAAATCAAGTCAATGGCAAGTTATTTACCAGGAGGTTCAAACGCCAGCATCCAGTCCTACATGGAGTCCTATTTAAAACATCTGACTCTCCACCTCCTTTTTTTAATCCCTATGCAGCACTGGTTGGGGGTGGGGATGCCTAATTCGATTCCCAGAAACCTTTTGGTCTTTTCTTCACAACAGACAGCTAGTCTCCCACCAGCTGCTGATTTCTACGAGACAATCTCTCTGGTAGTGGGGGGAAAGGAAAAAGAACACTTTTAATCCTGGGAACTGAACACAACAAGGCATTCAACCAATAGGCAGCACCCGAGTGTTTCGTAGAGTTGACAGGATCCTTGAAGTCCTAAGCACTGCTCTGCATGCTACTAACAAGCCAGCGAAGCAGGCTCCCACCCAGCCCAGTGAGCTTCCCTTCTGGGCTAACATTTTTTTCTTTGCTCCTAGACAGAGAGACTGTGAAGGACAGAGACTGTGTCTGTTTCATTTTTTTCCTTCCTCGTGCCTCACATAGTTCTGATGTAGAATATCTGCGTCACTGAAATCTAACACATAAAAAGGGACAGAGATGAAATTTAAAAATACCCAACTGAAATGTCATAATAATAGAAAGTTTAACATGGAAGTGGACTAATAATAGATGCGCCAGCTACACTGATATATGTGAATGACTGCAAATGTACTTGTCGTTTTTATAGGAATATTATACTCTGGAAAGGCACAGGATATATTAACCATGACAAGAGGCAGGGTTAAAGCTTCAGTGCAAAATGGTCTAAAAGGTAGATTAAAGTGGAAAACACTTGGAGCCTTCACTCCACACTCCTGGCCCATAAGGTTAGATCTCAAACCCAAGCTACACTGGCCCTAAATCATTCACATTTGCATTACCCCCTAGCCACTTCCACTTTGTCCTTGAGCCACCTGCATTTCGATGGACTCTGTGCAATGTCAATTTTAACACATGTAGCCGGGAAATGAGTATTGGTTGTTTAGTGATTCCATCAACAGGTCCTACATTTCCAACAACTCAACTGAAAAAGAGGGGTGGGTAAATTCATCCAATGAGATTTTTCTTCAGTGGCCTATATAAATGAGTTTCTATCACTAAACGACAGAGTGAAAAGTAAACAGATTTAAACTATGAACTGAGCAAAGAAATTAGGTGGCAAATAAATACTATCTCCTTAACACTTAGTATCTTTAAGTACCAGAAAGATCTCTTCCAGTCTGCAGCAGATTTTATTTATTTTATTTATTTTATTTATTTTATTTTATTTATTTTATTTATTTTATTTATATTAATTACATAGTTGATATCAAAAGTAGCTTTAGGAATAAGAATTGTTACAGTTTCAAAAGCAGAAAAGGTATATCCCGGAAATGTTTCACAAGCAAGGTCATGTTTCATGTAATTATTCCAGTCTCAAACATGAGCACTCATTCTCTACTCCCAAATCATTGTTAGAGTCCAAGTCTGAATCACTAGGACATATTAGAACACTCTGGACACATAATGTAAGAATAATTTAATATTAGTGCTAATTAGCTTTCTAAAAATCAAAACTTAAAAATACATGAATCTGGAAGGGCCTAACACAATCCCAGAACATGCTGCTCTTATTCTGGAGGAAGTGAATGACCTTCTGCAGAGGTCTAGGGTACAGAGTGAGTCTACACCACCCATTCTAAGGACACTGTTAAATAATCAATGCCACTAAAATAGTGATGCCTCTTAACATTCAATAACATCTTCCACCTGATGAGAATGCAGTTGGTGCAGAACAGGATGAGTAATGACTAAAATCCTTCCCACCCACCACCCTGCCAAAAAACATCTAAATTCAGTCAGAGGCTTTTTTTTCCCCCCTCACAAAATATGTGTTTAAGTCTGCAATTCATGTTAATCCTATGTTTTTCATTTGGACTTCCAGGATCCTCAGGTTTTTTGGGGTTTTTTTTTTGTAAAAGAGAATGATCTGAGTATATCTGACCAATGTATGTTAATATGAAGTCATACTGTAAATAATATAACTTTATAATAGAAAGACTCATAAAATGAACTCTTCATATCAACAAAGAAGATATGCATATTGGTATTGCTAGCACTTAGCAAAGCAACTATATTTTACTGAGGCTGATGTCAAAATGATCACACTTACTAAGTACACATCATTTTAAATAGACGAGGATGGTAAGCAAGGATGGAGGTCCACAGACACTGGGCAGCAGAAAGACACTACCAAGAATACAATGTAAACAGTGACTGCAAACAAGGCTACCTCATGAATAAAGTCATGTATTAAATAAGAGAGCCCAGCACAGTAGCCTAATGGCTCTTGCCTTGTATGTGTCGGGATCCCATGTGGACACAAGTTCTAATCCCAGCAGTCCAACTTCCCATCCAGCTCCCTGCTTGTGGTCTGGGAAAGCAGTCAAGGATGGCCCAAAACTTTAGGATCCTGCACCTGCGTAGGGGACCTGAAAGAAACTCCTGACTCCTAGCTTTAGATCAGCTCAGCTCTGGCCGTTGCAGCCAAGTGGGAGTGAATCAGTGGATAGAAGATCTTTCTGTTCCTGATCTCTGTAATCTGACTTTCTAATAAAATAAAAATATTTAAAAAGAAATAAAAAATAAAAATTGAAAATGTATTTTCAATTACAGAAACTTAAAAGAAAATTTCAGACTTTCTTTTTTATTTATGAAATTTTAAACATATTTTCGTAGAAGATAATGTCCAAATCTCCTTATTCAACCTGACACAAGGTTAGTCATTTTCCTTTCTATTTGAAAGTTATTTTTTTAGAAACTGGTATTTGAGAAATAAAAATAAAACAGAGTCCTACCCCAGTTAACCCAATGTTGACTAGCTGCTTTGATGTTCTCTAAAACAAATGGCAAGAGAATATCAGAATGTCATATTATAAATTTTCTCTTAAGTTCCTAAACAAATTTTAAGTTTACATGTTTGTTTTCTAACCAATCCATGGAACAGATATCATGTGAAATTATAAGTACAGGGATATCTGAAAAAGCTCATGGCAAATAAAATTAGAAAGCTTATTTTGTTATAAAAACACTTTAAACACATGCATAATTTTTTTCATGCTACATATTTCCCATAAAGTTTTTAAAGTCTCTCTGTGAGAATGAATTTCCAGGTTTTTGCATTTTAAAAAAATCATATATTTTTCAATTCCTTTTCCACAAACTTTTTGATGTGCCATCCCATAGTCCATCTTTAAAGCAAGGCCCTGGATCTCAGAAAGAAAGGCCCTCTCATCTCAAGTAAACTGTACTGCGAGGCACTACAAAGAAACCCGGCTACTGGGCCACACCTTTCCATGGGTCCCTTAAGGAGGGAAACTAACGAATAAAAGGAAGGAGATCACCACCACCTCCAGCAGTCAGCACAGCCCAGTTAGCAGCTGACGCTGCAACCAGTTCTTCTGATAAAGTGAAAAACACGGTGACTAAAACAAAAAACACAAAGTTTATTTATTCAGGTTCCTTCTACAAGTTAATTTAGAAGCTTAGAATCAAAGAAACCTAAAGAACCTAAGGGAAATTTAGAATTTAATACGAAAGAACAAAACAGAAAACATGGAGTAAGAGGATTTGAACAACATACTGGGGAAAACAGAGAACCGACATCCCCATTCCCAAGAGTGAGACTGGAGAGACAAAGACAGAAAAGTATAAAATAGTTGGAGCACTTTGTGGGATCGATTTGGCTGACCAGTAAAGCAGATATACATTACACTTGCTCTGAAGACAACATTCTGTAACTGGAGTGATGGTTGTAGTTCTATCTCTGTCAAGTGACAATTTCCCAATTGGAGGGACAGGCAAGCACCTCTGGACCCCCACCCACCTCATCTAAATGAGGAAGAGAGTCTTAGACAGGCAATGAGTAATAAATACATTCCTTGTTCATTTTCAGCCTTTTCCCAGTTGCTTTGTGATATGCTAAGTAATATAGTAAACATTAGGTTATAATGATACTTCAATTAAATATAGTATAGGAAAAAAACTGATTTGGAAGAATACTTTGTCATGAAAAATTCATTTCAAGTCATTTGGCAGCATCCTAGTATCCTTTTGCCTTCCTGTTTCTGAGCCATAACATGAGAATGGAAAACTTCTGCTTGGGAAGAAACACTTTCTCAAGGCTCTGGAGTATGAAGAGGCCACGTCTGAGATGGCAACAGAATGGTTTGTATATCTGGAGGCCAGTCCCCCATCTATGACCGGGGACACTGCCACACAGGTCTCAGGGCTGAGGGGGGGATTCAGGGAGATGATTCCTGTGCTAGGGCAAGTCCCATGATGTGAACCCCACAAGTGTACTTTCTGTTCTCAATTATTTTTAATGCTCACTGCAATGCTCCAGTGAGGAATTAGTATGACTTCATGAAGTTGGGCTACAAACTGAAACAGCCTTACCTGAAAATAACTGAAACAGACAGTTGGGGCAATTGGCTAACATGAGACAGGACACATAACTGGCGTATGGCATGACTTATGGCTAAATGAAATGGACAGCTGACAACTGGTTAGCATGATATTGCTCCATGTGGTTGGTCAGCCACTTGTCTTTAGATGAGCCCACTCAATTTGTTTTCTTCTACTGACTTAACTGGATGCTTGATTTCACTGCCCAACTATTTTGGAATTAGGTCGATTAATGATTCCAAAATGGGTGACACTCACTTAAAATAACAGAAATAAGGCTCTTACAGTTGACTTTTACAAACTATATAAATGCTATATCACTGTCGCACTAAACAGCTAACTAACTTTTCTCAGTTTTTACTCAAATATTTGACAACAAAGCCTCAACAAGGGACATGGGATAAGGTTGGTTTCAAAATACAATTAGGGCCTGGCACATGGCATCCTGGGTTAAGCTGCCATTTGTGACAAAAGCATCCCGTAGAAGCAACTTGGATCAAGTTGTGGCTTCTCCCCTTCTGACAGAGCTTCCTTCTAATGAGCCTTGAGAAGTTAGTAGAAGATGGGCTGTGCTTCCCAATGAGAGAACAGAATGGAATTGCAGATTTACAAGTTCCTGTGACCACGAGGAGAGTGAAACAACTAACAGATCTCTGTGTTTGCATCAGTATGGGTGTGTATTCTTTTCTCTATTTTTCAAGTAAACAAATCTTTAATATATATTAAATACATAGAGATATATGGACATAAGTGCTAAGTAATATGAACTAGTACAAATGGGCAAATATTCTAGAATTTCACTTATTACTTTTCTATAAGGTTCCTCTATCAGCAAATTTATAAATTTATAAACAGAAAATAGAAGTTTTAGTAGAGGCAAAGTTAACAGTAAAATAGGAAATTGTGGCTTAATGGTTACACACTTTCTGCATGGGGTGACGAAAAAGTTTTGCAACAGATAAGGACGATAGCTGCAAAATATCATGAATGTATTTAATACATCTCAGTTACAAACTTGATGGTCAAAATAGTAAACTTAATGTTATATTTTTTTTCACAAAATTTTTATAAATACTTCTGGAATCGCGGAGAACACTCAAATGTGCTATAGGCATATAAGATGGTTCATGAAATTGCAAATTATTTGTTCTTTTATTATGATTTCAATTAATAAGACTATCTGTAACCATCTGTGTGATGACCACAGGCGGGAACTATTATTTTTATGTACTGATATGGATCAAAATCCCTGTGGTTTTGTAGCTTTATGGCTGAAATGCACCTTAACTCTTTCAATACTTCCTTGGATAAGAATGAATAAATCACAGAAAGATGTGTTCATGATGTGTCCAAATTGGAAACTTGATAAGGGAGGCCTGTGCCTAATATATAGCAAACCAGGTGGCTCGGGGCAGCCAACAAGTCGCTGAAGAAAGAGCCTGGAGGTGGTGCCTCACAGAAATTTCAGAGAAAAAGGAAGAGGTTGTCAGCATCTGAACATATTTTGAAAGGTGAAATCAAAAATAAATATACAGACACACAAATACAACCTATACTTTACAAGCAACTGGCCAGACAGAATGGCTAAATCATGACTTCCCCTCTGATAAATATATAGGCCTCTGGCTACAATTGTTACCCTTTTATGGACTTCAACACTCTTGTCTTCTGCCTTCAAGGCTGCTCTTTTGAATTACAGGCCTCTGGGATGCTCAAGAAAATATGTACCATCCCCTGAATCATTTCTTTATGCAAGTGCCAAACTCAAGTGGATTATATCTAATACAGTTTGCTTTTGCCTCCTCCTTTGATCCTCACCGGTCTCTTATTTGTGTGGAAGGTTATAATCAACTCACTAAAAATGGAAGATCATTTTTCATTATGCACTCTCATGGGTTGAACTTGCTACAAAATCTCCACAAGTCATGTCTGTGGCATTGGATAGGGCAATGGTTCAATTAGCCACAGAAACATTCCCAGAGCACGGCTGACCCATTCCATGCACCAAGGCCAGCCAGGCTCTAGGCATCAGCTGAGATAGGGGAGGTGAGGAGCAGGTTCTTCTTAATGCACACAGACCTACCTGCATCAGCAAGGGACCTGAGTGTTTCTTTATAAATCTCCATTTCCTCATAAAGTGGAGATTCACTGATCCCTGCCTCTCATAACATGTGTGAGAAGTTAATGATTATGTACAAAAACAGGTTTCAAAGCTCTCCAGAAGTGATAACTTCTACTCTACATCCTGAAACACTATAATCCCTCTTGATTTTTTTTTTCCACCTCAAATGTAGTGTGACTCTCCGTAAAAGACAGGGAAGACGGCAGTCCAAGTAGGGCTGCCACTGTTCTTAGACAGTCCCAGTGGTGTGCTCCGTTTCCCAGAGCCTCTTGTGAAGATACTGACCTGGGAGAGAGGGCATTCTTTGGCTAATGTGCTCTGGTTCATCTCTTTGAGCAGTTCCTTTAAGGCATTGCGCACTGTGGCATGGTTCCACTGCTCCGCAGGCAAGTCTTCCAACTTTGAACAACTGCAAGAATGAATGACACACAAACCTCAGGAAGAGTTGGCTGATTACAGAGGATGTTGCATGCTGGTCACTCCTGGGCCGAGTGCAAGCATTGTGGGAGCAGCTGAGGAGCAGGGCTAAAGGTCCCCCGGAATGAGGGTGAGAGAAGGGAGCAATACTACTTCTCCAGGACCCTGAGAGAGACTGGCGGGGTCTTGTAAAAGTAACTATCACCCCACTCTAAGAAAAGTAAGCATCTTGTCTGTGCAAACATACCATTTTTTTTATGTTATCTCTGCAATGTGTTGAAAGCAACGGCCCAGCAGTATGATGACAAAACTTGCCAAGCTTTGACAAACTCAATTGCTGGGAATTCCTTGGGTTAAATCTCAATAAACTTTCCAGACCTTCACACTCACAGAACAATTCAGAGATCTCACTTTCCTAAACGGCGGGGGGACGGGGAGATGTAAGAGAAGAGAAGAGTTAAGGAGGAAGGGCAGGAAGGCAGCAGTGGAGAGAGGGGAAAGAAGTTGATGAGGAGGAGTCACTTGCAGTGTCTCTGCAAGCTGTGGAATCCCTGAGATGGCCACCAGCAAAGAAACAGAAAGTCAGGGCATTCCTGGTGAGGCTACAACAAGAACCAAACCCATCCTTTGTAACACAGACTTGAGAAAAGAGGTGTTCATCCTTCAAATACTATGAGATAAGCAGGCCTAGTGGACCAATTGAATAAGGGGCAGTGAAAAGTTCCCCTTAAAAGGCCACAGATTTTTAATGATTTATCAAGCTGCGCCCTAGGTTACCACTTCACTGCATCTGAAAACAAAACATAAAACAGTTGGAATGTGGACTATAAAGGTCCTCTCCTCCCCTCCTCTCTCTCTCTCTCTTTTTTTTTTTCCATTTCACCAATATCTAGCAGCTAATGCATACAGGATGTGTTGATCTCTGCAGTGAATCCAGGGAGCTGCTCTGAGAGTAGGAAAGGAAAATGTTCAGAAAGCACTCACCTTTGTAACTGGATTTTCAACGTCACAACATGATAGACGTCTTGTAGCATGTCGGCCACTGTTGCGTCGGGTGCATCTGTCACGTAACTGAGGGGGAGAGGGTTCCACCTCCCCAGCTTGATTATTCCTGCAAGGGAAGAAAAACATAATAAACACATAGCTGCTATTTATTAAACCTTCTCATTGTTTGCCCAATGTGAAGAAGGTCATTCAATAGTCAACATTCAAGGTTCACTCCAGATATTTTACAACCCAGTGCAATGAGCTATTTCTTTCTGCCTGACAATAGAGTTAGTTAACTACACAGGAAGATGGGGATGAAAGGTTTGATTGTGGACAGGCCATTCTTTTATTTTCCCGTTTCTTAAATTACTTCGAAAACCATACAGACACACTTCCTTCCCTCAAAGTCTTGCCTTACTTTCTAACTTAAGACTGATGCTAAATATACAGGACTGCTGATTTTTCATAGACAAGGGGAAAAAAAGGAAGAAAAGAAAAAACAAGCTTTAAGTAAATACTAGATTCAGTTTTGAATTGTACAAGAGAATTCCTGTGTGTGGGCTCGGCGCGCAGTTACATCCTGACTGTGGTGTGATTCCCAGTGCGAACAGCATTTGGAGCCGAGGAGGCAGTGAGAGTTCATTTCCAGATCCACACTTCTCAGCCGGAGGGGTTGCTTTCCCGGGCCAAATGCAATAGCGCAAGGATTGACCACAGATCAGAAATAGCAAAGATGCCTTTAAACTTCCCTTCTTTTTTTAATCCCTCAGCTTTTTTTAGAGTGACAATAGTACCCTTTCCCTGTGGGTTTCCTGCTGCATATGGTAAACATGCATGAGAAAAAGACAGGAAAAATCTTGGTCAAACTTGGGCCACCCGGAGCAGCGATTTCAGATGTTGAGGAACACCCTCGTTACGGGGAGAGGGGAGTTCAGAAACGGGAAAAATGCTAACTTATCCAGGGAATGGGGCCCCACCTTATCTAGCACATGGGATACCCGTAACACGGATGAAGAAAATTGGTAAAACCCACTTTACAAACTGCACAGAGTAACAACAATTTTACTTACAGGCAACAAAAACCAACGATCCCTAGGATGTCAGAAACCGTCAGAACCACCCCCCCCCTTTTTTTTAAAGAAGTTATGTTTTACAGATAAAAGAAAAATAGCACTTTTATTCTTGACAATACAGGTAAGCCCAACTATACTGATCACTGAAACATTTTTATCATCAAACAGAGAGAGAATACCTGTATAATTCAATTGAACTTTTTAAAGCTTCACAAAAATGATGCTTTATTGCCACACAGCAAAATTCCAACAATAGGAAATGAACTTTCTGGTCAAGACATGTCCTGCCCAAGATGAAATAAATGAATGCGCAATACTTGACATAATGCTTGAAAACAGGGAATAAACAGAACAAAAATATTAAAATGATGCACTGTTTCAGTATTAAGATTTAACAATCTGGTGCTGAATATGCTGCAGTATAAATAGTGCCTGGACTCAGATCCAATAAAGTAACACAGCTCTCATTCATAGTACCGTATGTCTCCAGTTCTGGCTTCAGAAGTCAGATTTCACTTGCCAAGAAAAGCTGTTTTCTTGTGGGGATAGTTTTCTTAACATTTTCCCTCATGACAATGAAAAGTGCACAGCACACAGCATGCAGTAGTCATGAAATGAACATCTAGGCCCGCTGGACAGCCACCCATGAGAGGCTAGGTCTGCTTCCACGATTCTTTCATTCCTTCTGGCATTTGCAAATTCCAAGAAGATACTGTGAAAAGTGTCTAACATATTTCCCTCTTTAAAAATCATTATACAATTCTACACTGCTTTCAAAATTCGTTGCCACAGTCATCCAAACGTAAAGTACCCACTGACCATGTTTTCCAGGCATCATGGAGAAAGAAAATGGAATTGGCAAGGGTGTACCCTGGTAGGCAAGTAGAAGCCATAGATGTTATGGGTCATTTTAGTTGCTAAGAACATGAAGGGCCTCTGAAGAAAGCAAACTCCACATGCTTCCATGCAGACTCTACAGCAGAGTCCTCCATGCACTGTGTTTGTGGGTAGTTCATTCCTTTCATCAGGAGAAAATACTACAATTCAACCACACGTGACAGACTCTAATCTCTACGATATTACCTATATGAAATACAGGAAAAGGAAAGACGAAACTCCAAGTGGAGAGAAGTCAGAGGGCCAGGAGAGGGAACTGGAAAAAGATGTAAGCAGATTTTCTTATTTTGCCTGGAGGTTGAAAACGAACCAGATTCTCAATATACATACATTTTATTGTATGCAAATCATACTTCAATTTTAAAAAAAAAAGTGAGGAGGAGGAACTTTTACAGGAAACAACAGACAAATCACTCTATTGGAAATAGTAATCTCCATTTAGGTAAATTCTCTCCCCATCCTCATGAGCCGGAAGATGATTGTTTGGGCTGGAATTAGACACACAGGTGTTTTCACAATTCTTAATACCTCCAAATACTTCTACATAGAGCAGCTGCTCCAGGTTGGTTTCCACATTTTGGAAGAGATCTGCTGGTGTGTGCTATTTTCTTAGGCAATGGGAGATGGTGGATTCTTTCCTTCTCTGCAACATAAATTGACCATGAGAGTCTTTCTGGTTAAGGTCTGCTAGGAGGGCTATAGACAGCAACGTGGGGGGTTGGAGTAACTGGTTTTAATAAGCTTGTTCTCCAATCAGTGTCTATTTAATGTACTAATCTTCCCTAAACATGCTCCTTGGAATAGTCTTCCTTGTCTGATAGAAAATTGACTCAAAAACTGCTTGGAATAGTAGTCACTGGTAATTAACAAAGTCAAGCTGGGAAGCAGGATATCATAGGGATCAACAATAATGCAAGGTTCCTGGTCAATTTGCATCTGTCCAATCTGGACACCACCAACTACCAATTACGAAAGACTTAATTTCTCCATACAATCTTCTCATCTATAAAATGGAACAATGAAAGGATTAGTCAGTACTGTCTAGATCTACCTCCCTTAACTCATTTCCTCCTTTGTGGTTCCTCGGTGGTTCCTTTCCTTTTATCTAAAAGTAGGTTCAGATGTGATCCACTGTAGCCATCTCACTGTAGGTCTTCCCTGGCTTCATCAAGCCTATAAGCAAGCCAACCAAGTCCCTAATGGATCTTCACTCAGGGCTATGTGATTCTACTTCTCCCCTGAGAATACAGAGGTTCACAGGCTGAGTTACCTCAAATAATCAAGCTGGCATCTAGCAGAATCAAGAGTCACTTCAAAGACTACACTCTCACTCTTATCATCATATAAAATCACAGTGACTCCCGTGTGAAGTACACAAGAAGAAAAGACTACAGGACTCCACCAGCATCCCATATTACAGCAGTGGTTCAAGTACCAGTAATTTCACTTCCAATTACCTGCCAATGTACCTGGGAAACCAGAACACAGTGCAAGAAGCTGGGTCCCTGCCACTCATGTGAGAGACCCAGGAGGAGCCCTTGACTCCAGAGCCACTGCGATCTTCTAGGAATAAACTTAAGGAAGATTTTTCTCTCTTTCCCTTCATCCCCCTATCATTCTGTTGTTTTTTTTGTTTTGTCTTTTTAATCACTCTGCTTTTCTAATAAACTTGTAGAGGAGAGAAGAGAGGGGAGGTAGAGGAGGAGAGATGTATGGGAAGGAGGTATGATGCGAGGGGAGAGAAAATAGTGGAAAGGAACTTGGCTCTAAATTTTGATAGCCTTTGAATGCCTCACTGAAAAATACTCGGTATGTGTTAGAGAGTGTGACCAGAGTCTGAAATTGCAGGAAAGTTCATGTCCAGACTCTGCTTGTTAACTGAGGAAGTTTGGCAAATTACTTACTTTCCCCACACGTGAATTTCTACATTGGTAAAATGAGGAAGATAACACTGCCTGCCCTTGAAGGTTACTATGATATTTGAAGTGAGAATGAAGGGTTAGCACTGGGATTGACTCAGTCTAAGTATACAGGAAAAGTCAGGGGAAACCAGATGCTTGCAAATTTCTGAGTGCACTAACAACATCAAAACAAAGCTTTAAGAGATTAACCTGCTCTGGAATGCAGCTCTATTAGAATAGGGGATGCATTCTAAGCAGACAAAGAAGTACTGAAATAACTAGGGTGGATTTGTCTAATGGCAGTCTTAACAGCCTGTGAGAAAGGAGGGACACCACACCAAAGCCAGAGTGAAATCAAGAAAAGAATGGCGTCTGTTACTGTAGTGCAGTGAGTAAAGTCAGCTCCTGCAGTTCCAGAATCCCATGTGGGCACTGGCTCATTGCTCTAATTCTGATTCAGCCCCCTGTGTATGCACCTGGGAAAGTAGCAGGAGTGTGCAAGTGCTTGGACCCTGGCACCCAGAAAAAGCTCCAGGCTCCTGGCTTCAGACCAACCCAGCTCCAGCAGTAGCGTGCAAGGTTAAGCTGCTGCCTGCAAGAATAGCATCCCATTGAAGGGTAGACAGAGAAATCCCTGAGCCTACAGAACTGCATCACAAAAACCAAAAAATAAAAATAGGCACCCCAAAAGAATGTCAGTTCCAAAAGCTCCCTGCTAATACACCTGAGAAAGCAAGGGAGAATGCCTCACCCTGCCAGCTAATGTGGAAGACCAAGATGGAGCTCCAAGCTCCTGACTTCTGCCTGCTTAATCCAGGCCATTGCGAACATTTGGGGAGAGAATCAGCAGATGCAAGATATCTTTGTCTCCACTCTCTCAACCTCTGCCTTTCAAATAAATCTTAAAAACAACAACAACAAACAAAACAAAACAAAACAAAAAAACAGGCCAGGCATGGTGGCCTAGCAGCTCAAGTCCTCGCCTTGAACATGCCAGGATCCCATATGGGCACCAGTTTCTAATCCCAGCTGCCCTGCTTCCCACCCAGCTCCCTGTTCGTGGCCTGGGAAAGCAGCCAAGGACGACCCAAAGCCTTGGGACCCTGCACCCGTGTGGGAGATCCGGAAGAGCTCCTGACTACCAGCTTCAGATTGGCTCAGCTCTGGCCATTGTGGTCACTTGGGGAGTGAATCATTGGATGGAAGATCTTCTCTGCCTCTCTTCCTCTTTGTATATCTGACCTTGCAAAATA